CAGATGGACAGGGTACAAAATACAAATTATTATTATATCAAAACAATAGTAATCTATCCTTTCTTCATGCAACAGTGAATGGGAGTGGCACTACTGCAGGAGGATAACTTTACTAGGAGTGAGGAATTTTAGACAATAAGCTGGCAGCTGTGCTTAGATGCATGGAGAACGAATACACAGCCCAGAATAGAGCCAGTTCATGAAACGGCAAGGAAATGGGACAGGTTTTTGTGTAGGAGTGTGTTTTCAATGAAAACTGCATTGTTGCTTGCTCTGGATTGGTACAGTAGGGAGAGATCAGCCTTTCCAACAGAAAGCAAATATTTGTCAAATGTTCTCAGAATGCCATGAACCTGGGATGTAAGAGTGTGTTGCTCAATAGCATGTGTGTTACAGCAGCAGGTCCAAGGCTATTTATACACCAATATTCCTGATTGGTTACATTCATTAGCTATTTTTCTACATAAATTGAGGCTTTCATATTGCTACTGCTGCTGCTAAGTTACAAAATTCATTGAATAGGTTAAGATACTCTATCTCCCTCCTGCATGAGTGTGTGGGTTGGAGGGGGATTTAATTTTATCAGCAACCAAGTGTTGCTGGTTATTGCTGGAGATTCTGCATGTTCTCAACTGCAGGTGTGGTACCTGGGGAGCTCAGGAGGAGATGTTTGGATTCCATGCACCAATTGCACAATAAAATAGCCAGAACTGCTTTATACAGAGCCATTGGCCTATCCAGCTCAGTATCAGACAGAGTCCGTCTTTTCATACCCATACTTGGAGAGAAGGACATAAGACCAGCCTACTGGATCAGGCCAATGGCCCTTCTGGTCCAGCATCCTGTTCTCTCAGTGGCCAACCAGATGCCTGTGGGAAACCCACAAGCAGGACATGAGCATAAGAGCCCTCTCCCCTCCCGGGGCTTCCAGCAACATATTCAGAAGCTGCCTCTGGCCTTGGAGGCAGAGCACAGCCATCATGGCAAGCAGCCATGGGCAGCCTTCTCCTCCGTGAGTCCGTCCAGGCCTCTTTTACAGCCATCCGAGTTGGTGGCCATCACAGCCTCTTGTGGGAAGCAAGCTCCCATAGTATAACTATATGCTGCATGAAGAATTGCTTTCTTTTCCCTGTCCTGAATTTCACCCACTCTTCAGCTTCACTGGAAGCCATTTTGGCACCTGAGGCGAACCACAAAATAGATCCTCCACCGCTGCCACAAGGGAACAAGGGGTGAGCGAAGATTTACACCAGGAACAAGGTAGGAATAAAGAGCTACATCTGGAACAATGGTGGGAGGAGATCAGCAGCCCCTCCCATTCCCAGAGAGGCCACCACAGAGGCAGCATGGGAGTGCAGCTCAGGAGGCAGCACATCTGGCCTCCAAGCAGTGTGCCACAGCCCTTGCTCCACCAGAGCAGCAGCAGCAGTGGACAATGCATTTCTTAGAGGCCGGGTCTGCTGCCCCATGCATCCTGCTGCCCAAGGCAGTCGTCTCACCTTGCCTCATCGGTGGGCCAACCCTGTTCATCGGATGTCCATAAGTTCTGGAATGATGAGAGATGCTATGGATTGAACTTTCTGCATGCCAAGCACATGTTTTGCCACAGAGGTATGGCCACTTGCCATGCCTGTTAAGAACTCTTCTCTTCTGAATGGGTCAAAGGCTCAAGCAATTCAGCTGCGAAAATGATGTTTATTAACAAAATTGCAACGTGCATTTAATTCTGGCAGCATTACTCCTCACTGGCGTGATCGTCTTACCTTTTATCTCATCAGCGCATGAGTCATCCTGCGATACCGCTGAGGCTGACAGGTTGCTTGAAATTTTCTGCCCACGGATTATATTCATGGGGTGCTTACAAAACATTTTCTAATTATTTTTCCTTCCACCACACCGAACACCATTAATCAAGTGTTATTATTCCCCAAACACATTGGATTGTAGCAATGGTACACTCTGCAGGAGACATGCTGAAATGACTGGACTCCTTCCAGGTTGCGTACGCAGGTAATCAAAAGCAACATTCTTTTTTTTCCAAAAAAGAAAGAATAATCTCTTGTTCTTTATAATGTCAAAAGCACCCAGAAAGGAAGGAAAATATACTTACCTATCAGAATTATTAACAGGTTGGATAAGCGAAACATACAGGAGAAAGAGGTCTCCCAATTTCATTTTCTGATCCCTGAATGTTATGCTCATACTTTAAAAACTAAGGAGCAGAGCCGGCCCAGACATTAGGCAGGGTGAGTCCGCTGCCTTAAAGCATCCTGGATTATTTAAACTAAAAGGCTAAAAGTAGCCTATCTAAACTTCCTTTTTAATCTGCAAAGGGATGGCACTCTGCTAAACTTGCAAACGTGAGGAAGGATAGTTTCTAATAAATATATCCTCTCCTAGCATCTATTGACATCCCAACAGAAAACATGTATGTTCACTGAAGAGTCTACACAAACTGTTAACTTGTTCAGTTACAGTGCACACCTTAACCCATTCCTGCTTTCTCTGACAGGAATTAACTCTCACTCTTCTGTCAGTTCATATGCAATAGATTACAAGTAGAAGGACAGAAAGACTAGCCCCAAAAAATCAATGCATTTGCTGTACTATAGACTCATGAGATCATTTCACGGAACTATACATAATGCTTAGAAAGTAAATGCTCAAAAGATGCTTTTGCCAACACATCTGTTTGTTACCCACTTAACCCACAATCCAGTTAAGCTGAGGAACTCAGATTTAAGCCAGTTCAGCTCCACTGTAATCAAAGAGATTAAATTGACTTAAAACCATGTACTGTGGTTGAAATGAGTATTGGACTGAGCTGTCCCTATCCGATTCTCCCAATTATCCATTATAAATAAAGTGGGGATTTTCTGTTCTATTATCAAAGTACAAAGCAAGTTCTTGTACTTGGCTCTTCTGATGGACATGCTTTGTTCGTGATTGCCCGTATAGTAGCCAAGATTTTGAAATATTCAACCATGCCATGGGACCTAGGGCCATTTTTTCAGCAGAATGTTCTGGCCTCTCAAAACATGTCAGAGTTCCAAGTAGCCCAACACAGTTCTATTGTTAGGGCATGGAAGATTCTCCCCAATTCAAAGATTCATTTGCAGGGCCTCACACTGTACTAAAAGACGAATGCTCAGTCATAAGTGATGAACTGTGGTCCACAGTGGCTCCACATGTACACTGCAGGGCAGCATCAAGCTAATGTGTCCTGTCGCATGATATCTGCATGCGCATGATATCTGCATGCACTACAAAATTTTCCTCTTCCTCCCATGTGCGCTCAGTGCTCTCTCCTGAAAGCCTGATCCATACAACTAGGGGAACCCCTAGAACATATTTAGGGGGTGTACAGAGGAAGAAGAGGGGGGTAAAGTTTTGTTGCACAACAGCAGAAATCCTTGCACTAATGGAACAAGTCACTTAGTGCTATTTTGGAAACTACCCATTGTGAGCAGCCATGAAAAGGGTGTGTGTGGAAAATCACCCAACTAGGGTGCGGAGCTGAAACACGTTAATGGCACCCACCTAGCGGTGGGAGCTACCATCTGAAGGGATGGAAGGCAACCTTCATGCTCTACATGTGACTCAGCACCGGCCAAGACTTCTCTTCCCCAAACATTTCTATAACATTTAAAATTGTGTTTGAACAGCCTCTCCTCTTGAGCATGTTCAAACAAGAAGCAGCCAGTGGTGCCAATACTGAAACATGCCTCAGAGATGACTAAATGAACTATAGGAGAAGCTTAGTTTAACCACTCACACTATGAAGTCATTTCACCAGTCCGCTCCACACCAAAGCCCCTTAGCACTGTTGAGGCCTTGCTTTTCCAGTTAGCTGTTTTCGAGTGGGATTTAATCACATACCAGCAAATTCAGTTGGTGGAGAGGTCTTGCACAACAAGCCCACTTCCTCATGACCAGACTTTTTGCAATAAGGAAAGTGACAGGAAAATGCACTAGATAGTGAGGGACACGGGTGCCAACTCCTAGGGGCCGAGGTAGTTTCGGCCCTCCAGTGTATTCTTTTGAGGGGGCTGGGCCCGCTCAATTTTCAGGGGGTGTTCAGCTCCGTCCCCTGGCTCCTTGGGATGTTTCACAATATTGTTTTGGGCCCCCTCAATCAGCTGAAGAGGTTGGCACCTCTGGAGTGGGAAGACACTTGATTGACACAATATCATCCAACAGGCTGAATAACAGGTCATGTGGAAGAACCCTAAGTGGAATTCAAATATGAATTCCTCGCAGTGTTGTGTACTATCATCTTCATAATCACCACCACCCATTGCTTTCTTACCCTCTCTTCAGTATGAGATCCCAGAATGAGTTGCTGCCATTTCAAAATGCTAGATTAAAATCAGTTTACAACACATATGATCCAGCAAATATCCTTCTCTGTTACCAAGATAATGTTTGCTCACAGGTAAGTTTTGCTAAACAAATGTATTTCCAGTGTTAAATAATAGTTTCCATGGTGCCGATCCTGCATGATTAATTCCTGCTGATCGCACCGGGTGATTAGTAATGAATGGCTTCTTAATGACCCTCAAATAGCATATCCTACAGTGCAATCCTATATATGTAAACTCAATTTTGTTCAAAGCCAGTTTTGTTCAAAGATTGCTAGTTTGCTACTGAAAAACGAGAATAAAAATTAAAAAGAGAGGTAACCAGCATTTAAAGCCCCTTCCCCTGCAAGAACGGAAACTGGTGCTGGAACAACAAAGAGTTCAAGTACAAGGAAGAGGCTATCCATCACTCGTCTCTCACTTGTGATCAGCAGGCAGCAATTACATGGCAATAACATGGGAAGGACCTGCTGGCAGGAAACTCTTAACTAACAGCACAGGAGCCCTGAGAAGTCGCCTAAGCACTTTGCCAGGCCTGTGCTGTGATGGCATGTTATTGTCAAACAAGAAGGACAGGGAGATAGAGAGGGAGAAAAGCTGAATCTTAGCTCTGAAAAACCAGACAGTTGCAGCAGCGAAACTTGGATAGCTCCATCGGTAGAGCATGAGACTCTTAATCTCAGGGCTGTGAGTTCGAGTCCAACTCCAACATGGTGCAAAAAGATTCCTGCATGACAGGGGATTGGACTGGATGACTCCCCCTTCCAACCCTACAATGCTATGCTTCTGTGAAACCTGCCTTATCTGTAGTGCAGCATATAGGGCAGGAAGTAGCTGCTTATTTGTAGCAGGGCAGCCAGAGGGGGACTTGCTGGTACTTCCTGTCAGGTGAAGCTGGAAAGCTTGCCCATTCACTCCTTTTGCCTGAGGACGGATCCTGTGAAACGTGAAGCCTTGCCAGGTCCCCTCCCACCCCAACGAAGCGCATCACCCTGTAATTACTTGGAACCAGAGTCCCTGCATATCAAGGGGTTAGCCAGCTGACAGCTTTGTTCTGCTTCGTTTCTCTCTCCGGCTTCACGAAGGCTACACTCCACTTTATAAGCACTTTGTTCTAAAGCGCTGGAAGGAGGCGGAATGTCAACATGGTATCTCCCCCTTTCATCTCCCGCCGCACAGATGAGGATGTTTACTCGGTGCTCATCAGACTGATGGGCAAGCCGTGAATTAGAAGAATAAATAAAGGCTCACGGTTCGAAACAGCTTGCCTGCTCAGGCCATTCTCCTCGAATAATCAGGCCCATGAATCACGCTGCTGGCCTCTGCAAAATCAGTGCTTATCCCAGAGTCACTCTTGAGTAGTGCTGGACCAAAACCCATCGACCTTTGTTGGAACCCAACACAGGGCTTATTTTGGAACAACGGCACATTGTTAAGTGTTTGTGATGAGGCAGGGGGAAGTGAAAAAAAGGAAAAGGGAAGAAATTGGATGGGACTAACGAGAGAATCTCAAAATCTTCCATGGCTATGATCACATAACATGGTGCAGAATTTACTGCAAAACCCCACAACCTTTCCAGTCTTAGGGAAGTTTCAGCTATTTAAAACTGGCCATTTATTTTCTCCATAACTAATGCAGGTTGTCTACAGTATAACCTGTATTTGGTTGACTAATAAAACCTGGTGATGAGGTTGCCTACACATCCGCCTCAATACATTTTTCTGCCTGAGGCAAGATGGATCTCACACACGTATACACACACTTTTTGCATACAGAAACTGAATGATTGACAGCGGAATCATATTTCAGCATTGGCGACATGACTTTGCAGCATCTGAGGGCAGCAGAGTAAATTGGGAGGGGGGCACTGTGCATGCCATGTGACCAAGAATGAATGGGTCTGTCAAGTTTGATTTCTCTCGGTTTCTCGTTTTGCCAGTCGTAAGTTCAGCTCTCCACATTTCCACGTCATTTCAGTTTACACACATACCCTCTTTCAAACATCTGAATATGCCCTACTGAAATATGTTTTAAAGGGAAATTGCCCTTTTGCGAATCTAATGCTTTAATGGAAACAGGGAAACAGCTCTATCTAGCCACGATTCCTAAGCAGTAAGCTAAACAACCAATTTTACTAATACGCCAGCATCTGTAACAGAGACTCCTCATCTTAGAATTGTAGAGTTAGAAGGGACTCCGAGGGTCATCCAGTCCAACCCCCCTGCAAGGCAGGAATCAGAAGTAAAGCATCCATGAAAGATGGCCACCCAACCTTTACTCAAAGATACCCTGATGAAGGAGAGTCCACAGAGTTGGCCACTGTGAGAACCAGGATGCTGGACTAGATGGGCCATTGGCCTGATCCAGCAAGCCATTTGTACAATCAGTTACATCTCAGGATCCAGGGAACATTTGAACTCTGATATGATCATATGGGATAATGTGTTTGTAACTGGGAGATCAAACCTCTACTTTAAATGGGGTTTAACATTGTGGAACTCTACAATTATCTGTGGATGCCAATTTGATGTACCAATTATCATCTAAATGACATTGACAGAGAGGAGGGGAGGGAGGCAGGGAGAAGCTTCAATATATATTTTTGAAAATGAAGATGTCTCTTCATATTTCTATCAGTTTGGGGGGGCTAGATCCCCTTAAAAGTGTTTTGTTTTCGTAAAAGTTAGAATTACTCAAGTTTTGATTAAACTTTGCCAAACACAGAAGCCCCCTTGATTTAGTTATGCTAGCGAGCAAAGGCAACTCAGCAGAGCTAGTTAGATGGGCCGTTAGCAGAGGACAAAGGCCAGTGAACTGCCAACTTGAATAAAGTATTGGGGGGGCAGGTAACACCCCCCCCAACATAATCAGTTGCAAGACTCAGCACGCAAACACACCATTTGAATGTCAATGCCCATCAACTTTGAGGGGACAACAGTTGGAGAGGGCTATTGCTCTCCTATCTTATTTGTGGTCTTGTCGTAGGTATCTAGCTGGCCAGTATGGGAAACAAGGTGCTGGGATCATGGTGGCTCCATAAGGCACTGTCTCACCACGTTCCTAGCCATCTACTGGCCAAAAATTATGACTCTTTTTTTCAAAAGCAAGAGTGAGGCTGCTCCTTGGAGTGAAGCTCTTTCTATGAGATGGATGCCAGACCCTGGCCTCCATAAAATTAGACCTCAAACCAAATCTAATGTGGTATTTCATTAATTTATTGTCCAGAGTAGACCCACAGAAACTAACAAACACGACTAAATTATGTCCATTTCTGTCAATAATATCATTTGGCTGAATACCACCTCCAGTTGGCTGCCTTGGGCCTCTGGGATAGCCTCATAATTTAGGTCAGGAATAACCAACATGGCACCTTTCAGATGCCACTGGACTACAACTCCCATGATCCCTAACCATTGCCCATATTCGCTAGGCCTGGAAGGAGTCAGAGTCATTTGGAGGACACTACATTGGCTACCCTTGATTTAAATGATCTAATGAGCATATATATATAGGAAACCATGCAAGCAGCTGCTTCCCTCTTCCCTTTTTCTTCTTTAACATGATGATTTCTCTCTCCCCTAAATTTACTTAATTGCCTCATTTGGGAGTCCAGAGCCACATTGCACTCCATCTGCTTTGGCATCATGTACCAAAAAACAGAAAGGAAGAAAAGAAGCCAGTGGAACAGACCTCCCTTTCTTCTTCTCTTCTCTTGCCTTTCCCCCTCCCCCCAAATCTAATCTCTCATTTCCCTTTGATGTTGTCTGTTCCCTCACAGCCTCCTTCACTCCAGTCCATTTTCTGTTTCATGGTCAAGTGTGTTTTGCAATTCCTAAATAAGCAGGAGATAGCTTCAAGGAGACGATTTATGTACTGTATTTACTTCCAGGGAGCCCAATAAACAAACAAGTTCATGGCCTTCGTGGAAAGCACTCTCTTCTAGGAATGGAATGGACAGTTCGGAAAGCATGCAACCTTCAAGATCCTCTTGGCTGACTGAAACTTGCTTCGGGCACATGGACCAGAGCGGATCTATACGGGCTTCCGAAATAACGTTACCAATCAGAGCTTGAGGCAGCTCCATGGGGTGTGTCTGTGTCCGGGGCTGCGATACGCCTGGCATAAAGTGGGCCAGCACTTCTTGGGGTCTCAGGTTTCCTCTTCCTCAGCAGCTCTGATAGTCCCTTAATGAGCTGTGCATCTGGAACCAAGAACTGTGTCAATCATTTCTGTGTTAGCAGAGGGCTGTTTGTTGCTCTCATTTTACCAGTAGATTCCCAAGAAACAGGATCTCTTCTAAACATATCATATACAGCCAAGTCAGATTTGAGATCTGAGGCAACGAGAGCCACGGGAAAGCTGAGAAGTGGATCCTGAGCTCGTGGTTTGCCCCTCTTTAATGAAAAGCAGAGGAAGGTCCTTAGCATGTGTGGAAAGGGCACTGACCTCCCCCCTCAAGCCCCCTCAGAAGTCAAACAGAACCCCTCTTATCTTCTCTTTCCATCTCTGACTGATGTGCATTAGTGCTTCTGGCACCTCTGCCATTGAACGGCACTGGTTGTTGTTGTTGTTTCAATTGCCATTCATTTATATTGATTCAATTTCTTTGAGTGCGTAACTTGCCCCAACCTGAAGGAACAGTATCAGCAATAATAGCAGATTTAAAAGTACACACAGAAGATATGCAATGCAACGAGAAGCTATTTCCCCCCAGTTTAATAAGACCCAGCCTTTATCAGCCCCAGACACAGCCAGCAAGCCCAAACAGAACAGTCAGACAAAGAGCAAAAAAATTTGGGGGGAGGAGGGGGACAACCTTAAAGCACAAGGGAAGGAGTCGGGAGTAGAGTTACCTCATGTGATGTTACTGGTGATCCCACCACCACCCACACTGAACTGCATATGGTTCTCATGTTTTATCATTACTGCTGGTGTTAGGCTGTTTTATATGTGTGCATATTTGTATTCCGCTCCGGGGTGTTTTCTGAAGAATGTGCAAAATCTTGCTGTAAATGAATGAATAAATAAAGGCGGAATGTGCAAACTCGTGCTGAGACTAAGGGATGGATGAATTGGTATGGATTCAGTCCATGCCGATTTCACATGTGACCCATGGTTAAATTTGGTCTACTTTCAAAGTGCTTGTTTGGTGGCCTGAAGTTGCCTTTTTCTTCCTTCCTTAAAGTTTGCAAGGTGGTCTGAGGGCAATTCTCTGGGAAGGGTCTGCACATAATGACATATGTCTGCTTCCAGAAACATTTTCAAATGCATTTTTAACCTGGGAGCCACCAAGGGGTGTGTGTGCATGTGTGTGTGTGTGTGTGTGTGTGTGTGTGTGTGTGTGTTACCTGAAACTGCAAGCAGCTGGACCTTGTGCAGAAAGATTTGTAAATATGCTGATGTAACTATACAGACTGCATATCTGCATTCTGACACAAGCACCAGTCCAAGAGGGGCAAATCAGGTAAGTTTGCTCCAAAATGCAGAACAAATTAAATCCTCAAGCGTCTCTTCCTGAGGAATCCAGACAAAGTTCACCTGAACTCCTCTTCTCCCCCAATGTGAGCAGTCCAATCCTAGGCATAATGTATTAGTGAGGAGGAGAAAAATCTCATTTAAAGGTCAAATTATCTAATTTGCACTTTCCAAAACAAAGCTATCCTTTGTGCTTATCCAAATCTTGCAATTGGCAACATCCAAGTGGCATGTACAAAT